AACTTTTAATGCTAGCACTACAATCATGCTTTCACATTCTTGTCACAATTCTGTTATAGTATTACAGTCAGACTTATTGAATACAACTTTTTTCAGCATTTTAATTTTAATCATATAGCACTGCTCCCACATTTTTTTACAGTATTACAATCACGCCAATTGATAATGACTTTTATAGCACTCCACTCATGTTTATACATTCTTTTATTGTCAGGCCTGTTGATTACAACTTTTACAACATTTTACGATTATCAGGTCACATGAAGTGTGCATATCTTAAACTCTTATAGCACTAGATTTGCGCATATACTACAGATTGTACACACTGATGACAATTATATAATATTGAGTATTATGCATATTGTAGATTCCATTCAGCAATGTGGTCACACTTGTAAAATGTCAGATAAAAGGACACTTTTAATGTCATTGATTTGTCAGGCATATGGTGTTAGACACATATTTATAGACCAATAACCACTGCTATGTAGTTGAAACAAGATTCAAGAACTGACATCTTTTCCCCATCTTCAGCAGTCAGTGCAGAGTTGCAGTACTAATGGTGCGAGCAGCATTGTGATTAAGCATCTGTCCTGCCTTTCCTCGGTGCGTCCAGCATTGGCCAGAACCCCTGATTATTCCCCGCTGCATCAATCTCACCAGACTGTGGTGATCCATTTGCTCCTCCGAACTGTACACGCTCTCCCACAAGGCCCTAACTACGTCTGCCTGATCATGCATCAATATTCCACTAAGATGTGCAGGGCCAGCCAATCTGTCCACCTGTTCATTTCCAAACACACCGGTGTACCCTGGAGAAAAGATCCAGACAATGCTCCTTACCCATGACACCTCCCACTCTGCATGCTGTGTAGTACTTACATAGCCACAGTAGCTATACAGTATTACCCTGGTATATTGGGCAGTCAAAGGGTAAAGACAGCAGTGTGTTTATTTGTGCTGTCCAAACACTTACTTGTCATCAAATTGTGTTGTCCCAACACCTCTCCCTAAGTTTGTGCTCAAACTGTATTGTTCTAACACTTGTTCCTAAGTTTGTGCTCAAACTGTGTTGTTCTAACACTTGTTCCTAAGTTTGTGCTCAAACTGTATTGTTCTAACACTTGTTCCTAAGTTTGTGCTCAAGCTGTGTTGTTCTAACACTTGTTCCTAAGTTTGTCCTCAAGCTGTGTTGTTCTAAAACTTGTCCTCAAATGGCGCTGTTCTAACACTTGACCCTAAGCCTGTCCTCAAATGATTACTTATGCCCAAATTTGTCCTCAAATTGTTATCTCAACACAGGTTACTAATTCTAACCTGAATTAACTCTTTGAGTCCCAAGGAACGCATCATACGTTCATAGGTTCCTACCTATAAGCCCAATGAACGCATGATGCGCCGATTTTATTACTTTCTTTACTACCCCCTGGACCTGTGATGCTAAACCCCCTGGGACTCAAAGAGTTAATGTTGTTCTAACATGTCCCCAAGTACTGTCCTGAAATATTGTTATCCTAAGATTTGTGCCATCGTCTGTCCTAACATTGTGCATATACTTGCTACAATATCAAGAGAATGAATGGAAAACAAAAAAGTCAGTAAAAAATCTCCAGGAAAAAGCAATTAGCATGCCAAGCCCAACAAATGGTTAACAATGTACACAGTAAAATGATATTTTTCAAACACAAACCACAAAAGCTGAAATAAAGTTTTTTTTATATATACATATATATATATATATATATATATATATATATATATATATATATATATATATATATATATATATATATATATATATATATATATATATATATATATATATATATATATATATATATATATATATATATATATATATATATATTGTAAAGTCTCACAACGCTTTCTATATAGAAGAAATTTGAGAAACAAAATTCATGATGTTATCAAAAAATATACTCCACAAACAACTGTGAAGCTATATGCAGTGAATGGCTGTTGTCTGCTGGAGTAATTTTGTGCACTCAAAACAGAATAGTGCTAACAACAGAAGAAATAACTGTTTTTTGGTTGAACAAATGTTTCAAAATGGCAGTCAATACATATGGACTGTTGTTCCAAGATTTATAGCAAGATTTCCTGATAAACAACCTTATCGCATTATGGTTAGAAATTTGTTTAATAAGCTATAATGAATATTTAACTGCTGCTTTCCAGCTTCCTCAAATCATCATTAGACCATAGCATTGATTATTGTAACCAGTTTAATGATTTTTAGCACATTTTTTTGGATGATGTCATGTACTCGTTTTTTCCCCTAAATTCATTCTGCGACTTTAAAAACAACCTGTATATATTTATAAATATATATACACACATACCCATGCATGCACACACGCACGCACATGCACACACACACACACACAGACGGGACTTAGAAGTATGGCATGCCATTTTATGACATAATCTGACATTTAGTAAAAAATGAAACAATATTTTATAAAAGAACATATGGCAAAGCATACTATGACAATCTTTGATAAAACAAAATAAAACAATATCTGATAGACAACAGAAACATGGTATGCCATACTTTTAATGAAACAACTGAACAGGAAGTTAAACTTTATAAAAACAAATATGGCATACCATAATCTTACACAACACTAATAAAGACAATTAAAAAGGAAACTAAATTTTATTTAAAAAAATATATATATACCATGCAATATAAAATCTGACAGAACAATCTTTAATATTTAGATAATGAACAAATACATTGCACAATTTCCTGCCTGGCACATATATCTATATCTAGTCAGGTGTCTAGCAAAAAAATGCCAGGCAATAAATTGTGCAACATATGTGTTTGTTTCCACATTATTTATGTTAGCTACATGGGATAACACTGTTTTGAATCATTGATATAATAATGAATCAAACTGAAAACTATACTTTAGAGAAAAAATATACCATGCTCTAATGTTTAAGAACAATCCTTGATAAAACAATAAATTAGAAATGACACTATTTTATTAAAACAAAAATATGTAATGCCTTTCATAACTTGAATCAACAAATTTCAATTAAAAAAATGATACTACATTCTATTAAAATAACAATAAAAAGCAATATGGTATGCCATAGTTTTTTTATATGCTTCTCGCAAATCAATGGTAAGCATAAATGCACATTTATTTACAGTTTTATGTAAAAATGAAAAGAACAACATTTGTAGTGGTAGAATTTTGCAATTAGCTATAACCTCAACTAGCATATATGGATTATTGGTATCATGTCAGTTTTTGCATGAAATCTGGCAACATGAACCGACTGCTCACAGGTGTCTGTGCCAGAAGTTTGCTTGTAATTGCCAGACAAGTTCAGACTTCTGTATTGGTTTTTGCTCATACTTTCGGAATACTCCCAAGCAGCGGTACTGGCAGAGTTTTGGTTTTATTTTTTCCCAAACAGGAATGAATCATTCAATGTTGCACTTAGTTTTTACTTGTATTTCTCAGATATGAACAGTATTCACAAGTTTCTTACTAGCAGAAATTGTAATTCTCAGACAACAGATTGTTAAGATTTCTGTACTGGAAGTATTTGCTTGTTTTTCTTCCAGAACATTCACCGATGAAAAGATTTCTATACTGGCAGCTTTTGCTTGCACTTCCTAGATATGAAACAAATTGCTCACAGGTTTCTGAACTGGTAGTTTTTGCTTGCACTTACAAAATATTAACAGGGTTCTGTGCTGGTACTTTTGCTTGCATTTCCCAGACTAGAACAAAACCACATATTTCTGTACTGACAGATTTACCTACCACCTTTTTGACATAACATCCAAATTTTTCTGAACTGGCAGATTTAAGACAGTATTTACGACATTTGCTGCGGGAGATGAAGCATCAGTGGGTATGCCAGGTGTGCTATGATGTTGATTATTAAATATGTAATCTGCACTGGCATTTTTTGCTTGTAATTAGCATACATTAGCATACAAACAAAACTGCCATGGAGAAGGAAATATATGTTAATGAGGAAAGATTGGAAGTGGTGGAAAATTTCGAATATCTTGGGTCACTGGTTACCAACAATGGTGACACAATGAAAGAAATTAAACGGCGACTATCAATTGCTCTTCAAAGACTAAAACAACTGAATAAATTATGGAATTGTACAGATAGAATTACAAAGGTCAGATTTTTAAGAGCATGCATCTTTCCCATTGCAACATACGCCTGTGAGACCTGGACACTTACTAAACAAGCGGAACAGCGCATAAATGCATTTGAATACAAATGTTACAGACAGGTTCTAAGAATATCTTGGGTAAAGAAAAGAACAAATGCATCCATACTTCAAGAGCTGAATATTGAAGAGGGTTGGCTAGTAAAGACAATAAAACAAAGAAAATTGAAATATTTTGGTCACTTGAAACGTCATGGAAGTCTAGAGAGAACAATAATGGAGGGGTACATGCCTGGGAAGAGAGGAAGAGGAAGGCCAAGGAGAAGATGGGTGCAGGATGTGGCAGATGATCTCCAGATGGGTGTATCAGACGCAGGACATCTTGCTCATGATAGGAAGGTTTTCCGGAGGGTTGTTATGGCAGCGAGGTTCCGCGAGGGACATGCTACTGAATGAATGAATGAATTCCAAGACAACAGCATCGTTCAGAAGATTGGTTTTGCTCATACTCCCAGGATATTAGAATGTTTAAATTTTTTACCCTGGTTATCTTTGCTTGCAGTTCTCTGAATTAATTCACTCACAGACTGTCAGTCTTGAAATATAGGGACAATCAAAGGATCACGTTGATGCTATGAAATTTAATACAGGTTTGTGGTCAAATAAACCTTAGATTACCATCTCCAGCATGGCTGCGTTTCAAGACTTCAGTGAACACATAAAGATGAATATAGGGTGATAATATTGTTGACAGTGACGTATTTTGAAACACTTGCTAAAAATCTCACTGATTATATGGCACTGCTGCAGTTGTTTTTATGGCATCATCCGTAATAGTTCACTAAATCTCGGTGATGAGAATTACTTCTTTGACTGCGGAGTGTATTCCGAGGGCTGAATCGGACAACCTCAATCCGATCAACAGAATCTGAATGCTCCAGCATTGGTGCATCCATGGAGCTATGATTGTTTATGTGAGCACTACGATGAGTGGGCTCCGACACGTCCAAGCGGGCCCGGATGTTTCTGCGGAAGTTGATGCACACTTTGATGAGGACAAACAGAAGCATGACTATGATCCCAAAGCAGATTCCTAGTGTGAAATACAACCAAGCCTTCTCCTGATGCACTGCAACAGAAAACAACTGTCAAGTCTTTGATCATGATGATGATGATTATGATAATAGTGAGGATAATAATAATGATGATTATGAGGGTGATAATGTTAATGCTGCTGATGATGATGATGAGTAATAATGCCAATAATTGTGAAGATAATTATGATAATGGTATAATTACTGAAATAATAAAAATGATTAAAAAAATGATGATGACAATGATGATAATGACAAAGTAATTATTTAAAAAAAACCTTTTTAATTTTAAGAAAAATGTAATACTGTATAAATCTTTAAAATGTGGAGTTAGTGACAGGTTAGCTCAGGGACTAGCTTGCTGGTAGTCATGTGTTTAAATCACCAAAACAAATACTTTTAAACTGACATAGGTTCCAGATCAACCAAATGGTTGCCAGGTAATGTTTTGGAAAGTAAAAATAACAGTGAAACTGACAACAAGTCATTCATGCACCAAACAGACTTTAAAAATATAGGGCTATTACCATATGCCCAGCCGACATACATTATCATCTTATACTTCTTAAATGTCTACTTAAACATGTGAGTATGGGACTTTTTCCTTCAAGCATCAGCACATCAGCATTACAGGGACTCATGTGGATATACTGCCTCGTATAGTGGGCGGTATTGAAAGAGCACATTTATTAAAGCTAAAAACAACATATGGGAAAACTCATAAAAGACACAGATTGATACAGACAGTGCCCTCGATCTCATGCTGGTCTCTCCCATCATGAGTGTACTCTGCCAGTGGGGCATATAGGAACATCATGAAAGTGACCATCTTCAGTGTTGGATTCTGGTCCACAAAAAAAAAAAAAAAACTAGCATGCACAAGGTAGCAGAAACCAGCCACTACTTTCCACTTGCCAGTACCCTGCACATCAGCTTGACGTAATTGGGCGTCTGCACGACAGGTCACATAGAACACTGGGAAAAAAGGAAGCTATGTTTCAATAACCCCCATGGAGGAAACCTAAAGTCGCGGAATCCTGGACAGAGAAATGAGGTGCCACCAAAGACTGGGAGAAATACAAAAAGTCTTCAAATTTTTTTGACAGAAAAAAAAAAAGACATTAGATACAGAAAAGACAGACTTACTGAACATTTTAAACAACTTGCAAAAGAGTCTAAGCATACAAAGTGGGAAAATTTTGGCAAGAAATAGGTTAGGAAAAATCTCTCAGAAAAAACAAATCTCTGTTATGTCCGAGCTAAGGATGGACAACGGGGTGGTGTTACAGTCGGATGAAGACAAAGGCAGAGCTATCCTGCACAGATATCTCCTGCAAATGAAAAAGATAGACAGGGAAGAGAGGGAGCAGATGAAACAGAGAATACATAATATCCACTTGGCTGGGATGGAGGAAGACGATGATACAGTATACATGTCGATGATACAGTATACATGTCGATGATACAGTATACATGTCGACTGAATGCATTAGAGCAACACTGAAGACTGTCCATTAGATACAGCGACTTCAAAAGCCTTGAGACAGACAGACATGGATGAACTGTCCAGGATATTGAATCTAACACCATGAATACTGGCATTATCCCTGATGACTAATGAAGCACGTCTATGTCACCTTGGAGAAGACATTATAACCAACTTTTCAAGGGAACAATTAGTAGAAGTACCTTGAAGTGGCTGCTGCATCAGAGGACTGAGCATGCATGGGAATGCCCAATGTGAAGTGATGTTGGCTGTGATAACATAACATAACTCACAACAGACAAGAGATACTGTAAAGACCATATATGAACAAGGAAGATAGGATGTCATATAAAATAAACATGTGTAAGGATGTGAGGACAAAGATGGATGAACTGATAGAGAAATAAAAATACAGATACAAACGGCAAGAAGAGCTTTTATAGCACTAGGACATTTGTGGAAATTGAAAAGGTGAGACTACTTAAGGGGTTTAAAAGTTTAGACTACTTAAGGGGCTTGAAAGGTGAGACTAAAGATGTTTGAAGGGTGAGACTAAAGGTGTTTAAAGGGTGAGACTAAAGGTGTTTAAAGGGTGAGACTAAAGATGTTTGAAGGGTGAGACTAAAGATGTTTGAAGGGTGAGACTAAAGGTGTTTAAATGGTGAGACTAAAGGTGTTTAAAGGGTGAGACTAAAGATGTTTAAAGGGTGAGACTAAAGGTGTTTAAAGGGTGAGACTAAAGGTGTTTAAAGGGTGAGACTAAAGATGTTTGAAGGGTGAGACTAAAGGTGTTTAAAGGGTGAGACTAAAGGTGTTTAAAAAGTGCAGTTAGTCCGCTGAAAAGAGCATTAGACAATGCAACAAATTCTACAGCAACTACCGGATTTCTGACACACCTACAACACTTCACCATTCAATTCCAGATAACTTAACTGAATTCTTGTCTTCCTTAGAGTTTGTGTACTTTAAAGCCATAGTCTTTTTGAGTCTCAGTGGATTCAGGTAGTAGAAATACAGAGAGGACGAGTGAAAGGAGCCATAGTAAAATACAGAGAGGACGAGTTAAAGGAGCCAAAGTAGAAATACAGAGAGGACGAGTTAAAGGAGACATAGTAGAAATACAGAGAGGATGAGTTAAAGGAGCCATAGTAGAAATACAGAGAGGACGAGTTAAAGGAGCCATAGTAGAAATACAGAGAGGACGAGTTAAAGGAGCCATAGTAGAAATACAGAGAGGATGAGTTGAAGGAGCCATAGTAGAAATACAGAGAGGACGAGTGAAAGGAGCCATAGTAGAAATACAGAGAGGACGAGTTAAAGGAGCCATAGTAGAAATACAGAGAGGATGAGTTAAAGGAGCCATAGTAGAAATACAGAGAGGACGAGTTAAAGGAGCCATAGTAGAAATACAGAGAGGACGAGTTAAAGGAGCCATAGTAGAAATACAGAGAGGACGAGTTAAAGGAGCTATAGTAGAAATACAGAGAGGACAAGTTAAAGAAGCCATAGTAGAAATACAGAGAGGACGAGTTAAAGGAGCCATAGTAGAAATACAGAGAGGACGAGTTAAAGGAGCCATAGTAGAAATACAGAGAGGACGAGTTAAAGGAGCCATAGTAGAAATACAGAGAGGACGAGTTAAAGGAGCCATAGTAGAAATACAGAGAGGACGAGTTAAAGGAGCCATAGTAGAAATACAGAGAGGACGAGTTAAAGGAGCCATAGTAGAAATACAGAGAGGACGAGTGAAAGGAGCCATAGTAGAAATACAGAGAGGACGAGTGAAAGGAGCCATAGTAGAAATACAGAGAGGACGAGTTAAAGGAGCCATAGTAGAAATACAGAGAGGACGAGTTAAAGTAGCCATAGTAGAAATACAGAGAGGACGAGTTAAATGAGCCATAGTAGAAATACAGAGAGGACGAGTTAAAGGAGCCATAGTAGAAATACAGAGAGGACGAGGTAAAGGAGCCACTGCAAGAGAGTGTATGAATGTAAAGGACAAAACATACCATTCATACAGTTCTAAATAAATGCCCAAGGAGTTAACTGAAAAGTTACTTAAATGCTAATAACAACTAGGAACCAATTTCAACCAAAAACAAAAATGGAAAATGACATGATAGAGACATGTTGTAAGAACTGCCAGCCTCTCCAAAGCTATACTATATGGCTCAGTAGAGAAGATAAGAAGACAAAGAAAAATCTAAATACTGCAGCCTAGCCGTAAACCACAATACAACATGATAGAAACCCTTATAAAGGTAAGCAAAGAAGAAGATTAGTTATCAGCAACTTGTTAGTAATGAAAAAATTAATGAGATGCTGCCTGTGTTACAGTCACTGAAATCTGCACTTCTCCATGGTTGAGTGGCTGAGACATCATGGAGTGGAGTGGGTGAGATATCATGGAGTGGAGTGGTTGAGACATCATGGAGTTGAGTGGTTGAGACATCATGGAGTGGAGTGGGTGAGACATCATGGAGTGGAGTGGTTGAGACATCATGGAGTGGCTGAGTCACAGTGAAATTGTCAAACCAATCACCTCATGCTCTGAAGATTATGAATTCAATCAGTCTCCCCGGGTGGCAAGTGTGGGTGTTGGGGAAATCCTAGGAGTCACTGCTGGAGCTATGGAATTTCATGCTTTGTGCAAAGCTCTCAGCAGGCACATAAAATTCTCTGCCCAGAGAGACTAAGCCACATGGGATCAACTCCAGTGCAGTAAAGTGTCAATCTTCTCAGTTTCCCTTCTGTATTCATCTGAAGATGTAAATATGTTGTGTTCATTTACAACAGGGCTGTGTGATATTAGCACCTTTTGGCTGACACAGCTGATTCCTGTAGGCATTTGTTGCCCATGTTAAACTTCTGGTTCTCGGCTGTTAACATCTCATATGTCATTAGGACTTAAGTCATCTACTCTTCAAAACAAGAAACTCAAACCTGAAAACAAAACAATTATTAGTTTTTAAAAAAAAAATTATTTACCTTGGATATAGTGAATGGCACTGAACCAGTCCCTGAGAAATCCAATAGTGAACGTATCCCTGGGTCTAACGAACTGCACCCACCGAACATCCGGCTTTGTATAGTTGGCACACAACACAGTTAAGTTTCTTTCTGTGACATACCCAGATTCTGGCACCTCATTCATTTTCTTTGAATGCACCGACTGCTCAGAGTCTAATTCTGTCCTCGAACCAAGGCCTTTGGTACTGTTCAGTGACGCAGGATTCAAAGTAGTGGTCACGGATGGAGGACTGTAAGTGGTGTCAACATCTGAAACTTTCTTAATTTGATCTTCACCCTCTCTATTATTGCTGCTCATGGATTCAAAATCCTGACCCGAGTTGTAAGAAATCTGGTCAAATGGTGTGTTGTCAAAATTCTCTTCACTGCTAACCACATTGTTTTGCTGACTAGCATTCTGAAAATCTGTTTCTTTATTATAGGTACTATCCACGTTATAAGCTGCTATTTTATCCTCTTTGTTCTCATTTATATCAGGACTCAGTGGTGAAGATACCACATGTTCTGCACCTTCATCATAATGATGACCATCTTTGGAATCAACAACGAAACTGATTGTACTAGTCTTGTCGTTCTGCTCAGGCTGGCCTTTGTAGGTTTCTTCTGGATAATATGGTGCCTCTGTGAGGATATCGACATCTGTGGTAGGGTCAAAGTGCACAGTTGTTACATCCGGACTCTCACTGGTGACCTCACTGAATAAATCCTTGTTTTGGATGTCTTCTGAAGGGAAGAATTCAATATATAAAATATTAATCCTTTAAAAAAAAAAAAGTGACGATTATAATATAAAGGTTTTATACACACAAAATAAACACAAAATTACTGTCTGTAAAAACACAGAGTGAAAGTTAAATGCATTTGAAAGTAAATACCTAAGGAAATTGTTGAAAATTACAAGGAAGAATTCAGAAGAACTAAATGTTAAACTGGCCTGCGAGCACTATAAGAGTTTGTTCTTCATTTACTCTCTCTCTCTCTTTCTCTCTCTGTGTTGAATTAGGAATCAACATCACAGCACTCAGGATACTCCAATCCCCATCTTCAGCAGCAAGTGAAGAGTTCCAGTTCCAATACCACCAGTGACTGTCTGATTTTATATCCGTCTCATCCTTTCCTGGAGTGCTAAGCCTTGGCCAGATCCCCTGGTAACTTCTCGCAGCACCATTCTCCTCAGACCGTAATCATCTATCTGCACCTCCGCACTGTTCACTTCTTCCCAAAAAGCCCTCACAATATCTAGCTTGTCATATAATCAATTCATCACCAAGTGGTGCAAAGCCAGACAGTCTATCTGCCTGCTAATTTCCCAACAAACCGGCATGACCAGGAGAAAATATATAAAGGATGCTAACTACTCTGGACCTCTGAAGTGATGCTTGCCACTTTCTCAGCATGCTCTGTGAGTCACTTACAATCATGGCTTGTTTGTACAGCTGAATCTCAAACCAGGGGAAGGCAGCAGAGACTGCCTCCATTTCCATTCTCAAACTAGACGGCCTGATATTGTATGCAAGGCTATGCTGCACTAAGCAACGTCCATTCTCTCTTTGTCTCACCTTAACTGACACAGATAAATATATTAACAGATTTCTACAGTGCACTCTAAATAACATTTAAGAAGTGCAGTTACATAATTTACAATGACTGATATACAAAAAGAGTAGCCTAAAACAAGTAGAGCTTCTGTTTATATATAGTCCTAGAACACTGTCATGATGTCCCTGAGTGGACTGTGATCAGGTCTTTCATTTGTTGTAAATCAAATCATCTGGACATAATGTTTCCAGACTAAAGGCTTATCCAGTCAGTTCTTCTACTTCTGAATTCTTCATCAGCCACGCTAAACATTAATTTCTGTCTGGGTCACAAACAGGACAGTGCATCAAAGGTCATGACCAGTTCACTGCAGTTTGCATTGTAATTGGCGGCGGTGGGGGGGGGGGGGGGGGGGCTGCATGGTCTCGAGGCATGGTGTCCGCCCTGAGTGGTAGAGGTTCTGGGTTCAATCCACTGTAAGAGATGCAATTTTTTTAACATGGACTTGGACTTCTAGTAATTCACCCTGGTCTCTGGGTAGTGAGATCGGACACCTGTGTACATTGTTGTGCACATAAAAAATCCTTTGGCAGTTGGAAATCGAAAAGAGTAACCTAACGGCGCTGCCCGGGCAAAATTTGGAGTTAAAAATATACAAAAAGTATTTCAGGATCCTTGGCGGTGCTACAGAGCCTGTGCACCGAGCTGAGCTTCTTCGGACTCAGACTAGAGTTAGAAGAAGAACGGAGCACTTATGGGTTACTACCTGTGTGCCATGATGTTGATCCGTTGTTCAAAACTTCAATGTCTTGCACCCACCCTGCAGTGCATGCTCATAACTCTATCTGCTTCATAGCCAAAGGTGGCATATTCTGTAATGTTTATTTTGTGTGGTTGTGCTCTAAGATTGCAGTATCCTGTCTGAAGTCTAACAATTATTGTCTGTCCTGTTGAGACTGTTTATGCTGTCACTCTCTGGTCGGCAGTCTGCCTTCTCCACTATCTCCTGAAGGACTGCTTTAGGGCTGTTGCCCCCCCCCCCCTCCCTCCCCCTTATTTGTACCTGTATGGTAGATTGTTGCTGTTATTATACAACCAGAGGTGCATGAGCCTTCACCCTTTGGCCCAGCGCCATGTACTGGAATTTACATGTTTTCACAAGCTGTTCTCTTCCTCCATACAATGTGGGCTACTTGTCTGGTCTCGGAGGGAGTAGCGTTCTTCTAGTCTCGCCGAGTTTTGAGCACTCAAAGAGATAATGGTTAACAGTTTCGTTGGGGTTGTTACATGGCTGGCACTCTGGGGAGTGTTGTGACTGTATTCTGTTTAGATACCCATTAAGTGGAATTTGTTGTTGTGTTCTGAGTCTTAAGATGGTGGCCTGGTCCCTCCTTGTTAGATGGCTGATGCTGTGGTTAGGATCAGGGCCAGCCATATGTCTGTGAACCTCTCTTACAGTATCTTCCATTGCCTACGGTGTGGTAGATGAGGTTATGGAAGATGATTCTTAGATCTTGCCAGCTCATCTGCTCTCTTAGCCCAGTCAATCAACTTTAAGAGCCTTGCCCATCTTAACCTGCCCTGTCTACTCTATCCTGGCACCGAGCCTTCCCATGTGGACTTAGGGCCCCATCTGAAACCAGATGTGTTGGGCCAAAGGTGCAGATATTGCAGCCTAGCTGTACACCACAAGAAAACATGCCAACCATTCTTTTGAGGGTGAACACAGAGCCATATAGTATAGTTTGGGAAAGGCCAACAGATTTCATTACCCATACACACCATTGTACTGAGCAGCTTTACCACTGTTAAATGTGGTGTGTATGGCTAGGGAACAATAGGGTTTAGGTTAAAATCTGCTGTCTCTCACCTGTGACAGAGGCAATATGAGAACTGTCTTGCTGGTCAGACCCCTCTGAAACTGAAGGAGCTGTACTGGGGTGTTGGGATGTTACTGTATCTGTGGTAATATTTGCTGCAGTATCCAATACTTCGCTGCCTTTTTCATCATCTTTCTTCTTTTTCTTCTTCTTCTTTTTCTTCTTATTTGTTCTGTGGTGAATCTGTTTCAGAATCTTTCTTGGCACTGTAAGAACAATATAACAGGATGTCAGTACATCAAAATGTAGCAACAAATCTATGCAATATTAAACCAAAAGTAAATGACATGCATAATGCATAAAAGTCTAGTACTGAAATAAATTTAAAAAAAAAACTATCTCAATTATAACCAGAAGGATTGAACAGGATATTGTTTAAATTACAACAGTGCATAACAGAACTCTCTGGGGACCCAAGAAATGGTTCTTCTTATCAGTAATTTCTCTTATCTGGATAAGAGTTCAAGCAAAATAAACTGCTGAGGATAAAGAAATTGTTCTTCACAATAGAAATTCACCACATCAAAAATTGACTTAACTAGTCTGCACTGTACTAGATATTTAGTGGTCAGAATAATACATATCTGAAGTGGTAAAAGGTAAAGGTAAAGTTGGGAGATGTGAACCAGTGTCATTACACACGGTTATAAACCATAAGTGCTCTGCCACCAGTACGGACAGCTGATAAGAATTGTCCGCCTGTGTCGCCATTCGCACGTAACTCTGTAGCTACAGCGACGTTCATCCACTTACCCCAGAGTGTCAATTCTGGTACCCATTTCCTAGAGGCTGAGTGAACCCCGGGAGCCGCCTAGTTTCGAACACCGACTGTGGCTGCAGCGAGTCACAGCTTGATTTGAAACCGAGCCTCTTATCGACTGCGCTAACCCGGCCCCGAAGTGGTCTTGGCAAGACGGGGTGACCATAAAGATATTTTGTCAGAAAGTATTGAAACGTTAAGAAAGCCAAGGTCACCCAGTGGCTAAAAGCTGCTCCTGCCTGCCCAAAAGTCTTGGATTCCACACTGGATGGATTTAGGAAAAAGTGATACTATACATCTTTGCTGCCCCAAAAAAGGTCTTCACACTGTGCACATGCTTAAACAATTGCCCTTCACATAATGAAGTTTGCTAAACTTATCTCTAAAACTGTTTATCCAGGTTGTACAAATGCTCTTAAACTGCAACAGATAAATCTTTTGACATTATCCTTGCATTGATATCGCTGTCTGCCTCTTGCCTTCTACCTCTAGCATAACTGTTATGTCCGTCAATGTTTTGAAATAGGTCATTTCATGTTTATTTCTTTCATCAGTTCTTTTCCTCCCAAGCCTCTTCTCCTCAGAAGCTTTGTATCTGATTAGTTCTTAAATAAGACTTCTTTTGCACATCCACATCCCAAGGGTTTGTTCCCACGAAATATGGCTTTTGTATATCCACATCCCAAGGGTTTGTTCCCATAAAATATGGCTTTTGTATATCCACACCCCATGGGTTTGTTCCCATAAAATATGGTTTTTGTACATCCACACCCCATGGGTTTGTTCCCATGAAATATGGCTTTTGTATATCCACACCCCAAGGGTTTGTTCCCATGAAATATGGCTTTTGTATATCCACACCCCAAGGGTTTGTTCCCATGAAATATGGCTTTCCTATATCCGCACCCCAAGGGTTTGTTTCCTTGAAATAAGGCTTTTGTATATCTACATCTCAAGAACCTGTTTTCATGAAATCTTCTTCTTCTTTGTGCTCACCAGCTGTAAAGAAAAGTTTTTTGATGGAAAGTTTTTGTTGTTCATCCACTTTTAT